TGATCTTCAGTGGTATCAAAAACACATTGGTTTTCATCCATATGAGTTAAAAATTGTCCAGAACAAGGCTTCACAAAGAAAAAAATGTTTATGGTTATTTTGCGTTTTAAATCCAACAATAATATAACAAATTCTTGCAGATAATTTGGTTAACTCAGTATGAGGTTGTGGCAACTCTTAAGTTTTTGATTGAAATCATGAATCGATTAAAGCTAGACCACAAATGTAAACCTGAAAGCATTGGATGACCGTTTCGTCCTGTTGTGTAACTCGTCATCAGTGAGCATCCATGATCCCGCTTCGCGAGATTCGAACCCAGGATTTATCGGTCTCGCGCGTAAACGCATAACCTATAGATCACTAAACTCCGCCTGGAGTCCTTCCGAGGGCTACTGCCAGTCCAAAGCCCGGATAAAAGAGGAGGGTTGGGCATGGGGTTAGCGTCCCCATCCCGTAGAAAACTAACTCGCTAAAAAAACGCTAACCAGAAAAAATTATTCAAACCTTTTAAACTCTGCCCTGGGAGTCAGAAGGTCTTCATTTAGAAGAATTATGACGCCTCATGATGAAAGCCGAATTCCTTCGGAAGTTACGAGGCCGATGCCCCTTCTGACAACCAGAGCGACCATTTATTTAGGTACATGGAATGTTCGTACAATGTGGGACACCGGGAGAGCCTTCCAAATTGCTGCAGAAATGAGAAGATACAACCTAGAGGTACTTGGGATCAGTGAAACACATTGGACACAAGTTGGACAACAACGACTAACTACAGGAGAGCTCCTGTTATACTCCGGCCATGAAGAAGAAAATGCACCACATACACAAGGAGTTGCATTGATGCTGTCCAAACAAGCGCAAAATGCGCTTATAGGATGGGAATCTCATGGACCAAGGATCATCAAAGCCTCGTTCAAAACAAAGAAAGAGGGTATTTCAATGAACATCATCCAATGCTATGCGCCTACCAACGACTACAATGAAGACGCTAAAGATCAATTCTACAATAGGCTGCAGTCAATCGTCGAGAAGTGCCCAACAAAGGACCTGACTATTCTGATGGGAGATTTCAACGCCAAGGTTGGAACGGACAACACTGGATATGAAGACATCATGGGACGACACGGACTGGGAGAAAGGAACGAAAATGGTGAGAGATTTGCAAATCTATGTGCCTTCAATAAGCTGGTCATAGGCGGCACCATATTCCCACATAAACGCATACACAAAACCACATGGACTTCACCGGATCACACTACGCAAAACCAAATCGACCATATTTGCATCAACAAAACGTTCAGGAGGACTATAGAGGACGTGAGAACCAAGAGAGGAGCTGATATAGCATCAGATCATCACTTGCTGGTCGCCAAGATGAAATTGAAACTCAAGAAGCACTGGACAACGGGGCGGACAATATCACAAAAGTTCAATACGGCCTTTCTTCAGGATACTAACAAACTCAACAAATTCAAGATAGTCCTCAGCAACAAGTTCCAGGCCTTTCATGATCTACTCAATGGAGAAGGAACTACTGTGGAGAGCAACTGGAAGGGGATCAAAGAGGCAATCACTTCAACATGTCATGAGGTCCTGGGTCACAAGAAGCACCATCACAAGGAATGGATCACTGTTGATACACTGGATAAGATTCAAGAAAGAAGGAACAAGAAGGCAGCAATCAATACCAGTCGAACAAGAGCAGAAAAAGCCAAGGCACAAGCTGAATACACAGAAGTAAACAAACAAGTGAAGAGGAGCATCAGAACCGACAAACGTAAATATGTGGAAGATTTAGCAACGACGGCGGAAAAGGCTGCAAGAGAAGGAAACATGAGACAATTGTATGACACGACAAAGAAACTCTCTGGAAATCGCCGCAAACCAGAACGACCAGTGAAAAGCAAGGAAGGCGAGGTAATCACCAACATTGAAGAGCAACAAAACAGGTGGGTAGAACACTTCAAAGAACTCTTGAATCGACCAGCTCCACTGAACCCACCCAACATCGAAGCAGCACCCACGGACCTCCCAATCAATGTTGGCCCACCAACAATTGAAGAAATCAGCATGGCCATCAGACAAATCAAGAGTGGCAAAGCAGCAGGACCGGACAACATCCCAGCAGAGGCACTAAAAGCAGACGTAGCGGCAACTGCAAGGATACTCCACATTCTCTTCAATAAGATTTGGGATGAGGAACAAGTACCAACAGACTGGAAAGAAGGACTTCTGATCAAAATACCGAAGAAAGGCGATCTCAGCAACTGTGATAACTACAGGGGCATCACTCTTCTCTCAATACCGGGAAAAGTCTTCAACAGGGTATTGTTAAACAGGATGAAGGACTGCGTAGACGCCCAACTTCGTGACCAACAGGCAGGATTCCGTAAGGATAGATCGTGTACAGACCAAATCGCAACTCTACGGATCATTGTGGAACAATCAATTGAATGGAATTCATCACTCTACATCAACTTCATTGACTACGAAAAGGCATTTGATAGCGTGGACAGAACAACACTATGGAAACTTCTTCGACACTACGGCGTGCCTCAGAAGATAGTCAATATCATACAGAATTCATATGATGGATTACACTGCAAAATTGTGCATGGAGGACAGTTGAAAGAGTCGTTCGAAGTGAAGACCGGTGTTAGGCAAGGTTGCTTACTCTCACCCTTTCTCTTTCTCCTGGTGATCGACTGGATCATGAAGACGTCAACGTCTGAAGGGAAGCACAGGATACAATGGACATCTAGGATGCAGTTGGAAGATTTGGACTTCGCAGATGATCTGGTCTCTCTCGTTACTACCACACTACCTTACCCCAATCTCTTCGTCATTGTTCTCTTTTTCTTTTGCGTTCCCTAGTTTTTTTTTTCTATTTCTCTTCGAATTTTCATTGTTTTGTGTGGCGCATATATATTGGCGCTCTCTTGTACCAATATTTATGTGTTCAAATAAATAAATAAATAATTCTCAAACGCAACAACAGATGCAGGAGAAGACGACCAGTGTGGCAGCAGCCTCAGCAGCAGTAGGTCTCAATATATACAAAGGGAAAAGCAGGATTCTCCGATACAACACAGAATGCACCAATCCAATCACAATTGACGGAGAAGATTTGGAAGATGTAAAAACCTTTACGTATTTGGGCAGCATCATTGATGAACAGGGTGGATCTGATGCAGATGTGAAGGCACGGATCGGCAAAGCAAGAGCAGCATATTTACAATTGAGGAACATCTGGAACTCAAAGCAACTGTCAACCAACACCAAGGTCAGGATTTTCAATACAAATGTCAAGACAGTTCTACTGTATGGGGCAGAAACCTGGAGAACTACGAAAGCCATCATCCAGAAAATACAGATGTTTATTAACAATTATCTACGCAAAATACTTCATATCCATTGGCCGGACACTATTAGCAACAACGTACTGTGGGAGAGAACAAACCAGAATGCTGGTCAGCGGCCTATGCTCCATCGGGAGTAACAGGCGTAAGTAAGTAAGTAAGTATAGATCACTGAGTTGACATCCAGTGGTGTTAATGTGTAACTTCAAATAATCTACGAAATCGAGCGACACGTCCACCATTGTCATCAATGAGTTACTATCTCACAACAGACCTAGTTGAACTCCACTGATAAGTGGTTCTTATTAGAACTCCAGGAAATACTTCATGAAGCCAGTCACTAATGAATTCATAAGTCAATTAAAGTTGGACGATCATGAAAAACCTGGAAGCACTGGACGGTGCACTGTTGAGGAGTCCAATACTAAGAAAAAAAACGGTCATCTAGTGCTCCTCACTCAGTCAGTGGTCTTGAGTGCTGTTAAACGTATGAGGGCGATTATTACTTCTCGGTTGCCCACACCGTGGAAGTGTTCTTCTGGTAGTGTCTGAAAAAGAAATTGGATTAGAGGTGGTCTTAGTGACCTGAGAGCGTGACCTCAGTGCCCAAGGGACAACTGCTTGAGGTCGGTCACACACGACCTTTTTATGAGTAATTTTTGTGTTAGCTCCGTACTTGTTGAGACCTTACCGCCGGAGACGGATATCCGTGGGATAAGGTGAGGTGTGCATTTTTAGGGTCGACCTTTTCCAACCCCACCCCTCCTTGTGGGAAGTCAGCATCGCTGTCATGCTGGTTGTCTGAAGGAAACACCTTACAGCCGTCACACCTCTGTACAGTCAGCAGTAGGACTTCGCCTTCGGACCTTGGGTTTGCTGCTTTTAGTCTTACCGTTCTTCAACCGACCTGTCTGACATGGTAGGACCTTGAGGAACGGTTTTTCAAGCCAGTATAGCTCGATTAGTTCATCACGAGAGGCAAGCCCGACCACCACGTCAAGGTAGCAACAACGGTTGGGATGCTTCTAGGCTCTCTATGATGGTCTAACTTTAATTGACTCATGAATTCAACTATTAAAATATTGACATTAAATAAACTCATATACACGTACAGATTTAACTGAATGAAATTGTTTTGTTTTTTTCAGTCTATTTATATTATTCTTCAAATTTTTATTCATTAGTATAGAGGAAATCTTATTGGTTTGATTGTTAAAGTATCCTTTTGATAGAACAACAAACATATTTTTACAATTCAATAATATGAGAAAACAATTATCCCCCCCCTTTCGTTGATAAATATTCAACCCTGTAAACATTGTTTCTAAGATAAATCTCTATTGAATAATTTCATGTCTGATACAGAATGAACTTATGTGTATCAATCAAATTGTGTAAGAAACAATCATAATTTAATGGAATTAACAATCATATATGATTAATACATGTAAGGTTAGTAGGATAGTACACAATATGTGATTCAATCAAACAACAGATTATATATATATATATATATATATATATATATATATATATATATATATATATATATATATATATATATATATATATATATATATATAACCATATTATTGTGAATGAAAGTTAAACCTCAGATAGTTCTATTTGAAAAGTCTATTAATGGAGTTTGCTATATTAATTCTGATTACATTTCTACACTCATTTGGTAAGTGGAAGTGAGAATTTATAAAGTTACACATGTAACAAACGATAATGATATTTTGATAATGAAAATGATGATGATGATGATAACTGCTTTTTGATTCGCCTTCAAATTGCCTTCACTGAATGAACTTTGAAAACAATCAAAATGATTATCCATACAGTTTACTTAAAATGGTCATTAGTTGTTTCATTCATTTAACCAGAAATTCATCAGAGGAAACTTCTAGGTTACAGATCAATCTGTATGGTATTAATATTTTTATAAGGTACTCAGTTACATTCATAAGTATGAAATTAACACTGCATTAGGGTGTATTATTACCTGAATTTTAGAAAAGTTATACATGTATAAAAAGAGATGGGATCTTGATAAGTAAGAAGTTTGAAATGTTTAGTCTTATTCTAACGAAGCATCATCGGCAAACAAGGAGGATCGGATGCAAATGTAAAGGTGAAGATTGGCAAAACAACAACAGCATTCCTAGATTTGAAGAACATATGGAACTCAAAACAACTGTCAGCCAAACATCAAAGTGAGAATCTTCAATACGAACGTCAAAACAGTTCTACTGTACGGAACTGAAATTTGCAGAACTACCACAATCATAATCAAGAAGATACAAGTATTTATAAATAGTTGTCGACGCAAGATGCTCAACATCGATTGGCCGAATACCATCAGCAACAGCCTACTGTGCGAGAGAACAAACCAGCTTCCAACTGAAGAGGAAATTAGGAAAAGATGTTGGATGTGGATAAGACATACATTGTGGAAATCACCAAACTGAATGACGAGGTAAGCGCTAACTTGGAATCCTGAAGGGAAACAAAAAAGAGGAGGGCTGAAAAACAAATTACATCGGAAAATAGAATCAGATATGCAAAGGATGAATAACAACTGGAAAGAGCTGGAAAGGGTTTCCCAGGACAGGGTTGGATGAAGAGTGCTGGTGGGTGGCCTATGCTCCTTTACGAGGAGTAACAGGCGTAAGTAAGTTAGCAATTAATCTTATTCTGAAAATATAATTTAAAACGATGCGTAGATATTTCGACGTTTCCAAGCTATTATTCTGGATAAACTATATTACTCTTCGAATTCCAACTAGTTATACAGTAGGTATATGAAATGATCACTCTGAAACAGTTAATATTATTATTATCGCTAGATTTATTTAATATTATATTTTCGGTATAATATAGAATTCTCAGCACAAAGTATTTCAACAAATTTCCGTTTCTTGCTTCTTCGTCAACCCTGACGACAAATGTTGAGCGATCGCCAGTTGGATGTTAATAGTCTAGCTAATCGACATCAAAATAATAAACATTCTTTTTGCGGTATATTGCCAGCAACAAAGATATCTCTGATTGGACTCTTTTGTAAATTAAACAACGAAAGGCTGTACAGTTTTGAGAAACGCATCTGGATAGGTTATGCAAATAATACCAATAATGATCTATTAAAACATACAAAATTAGATAACATGTTGAAATATCTCGATGGCAGGAACAGGTAGCCCGAATATTCAAGCAGGCCGCCGGGTTTACAAGTATATAAAGTTTGAAATAGTGGAATACTAATTATCGTTGCACATTTTTATTGAGACAGAGTTAATTGATTGTGAACATTCTCTTCATGTCCAATTTCCACCCAAACTTCAGCAATATGCTGAATAATTTTAATATACACTATATATTACTCAATCTTAAATAAGTAGTATACTTTCTATCGGATCAATATTTATTGAGTTAATTTTAAACTCCCTGTTTCTCAGATAATTTAATTGACTATTAAAACAATGTCTGTTTTCTTCTTTAGTTGCCGCAGAATCAACAAACAGTAAGCTAATAGTTATAATAATAGTGATATAAATAAGCACAAATTTAGTTTACCATTACAACTTAGAAAACCAAGTTAAAACTAATAATTTTAATAGTTGGGATCATGAGTCAATTGAAGCTAGACCACCATGGAGAACCAGCAAGTACTGGACGGCCGTCTCGTCCCACTCTGGGATTCCTCAGCAGTGCACACCCACGATCCCGCTTCAAGATATTCGAACCCAGGATCTATCGGCGCTTAATCTCTACAGCACTGAGCCGACCTGCATTCAACGGTGTTAATATCTAACTTCAACTAATCCAGGAAATTTAGCCACCGTCCACAATTATTTTCAGTGAGTTACCATCTCACAACATATTCGGTTGAAGTTCACTGGTCACTGTTTTTCATTAGAACTCCACGAAATACCTCTTGAAACCAGTCATTAGTGAGCAAATGTTGATTAATATCAGAAGGGGTTTTTGGATACTATAAAACTAATATCTGAATTCATGAATCAATCTAAGCTAGACAACCATTGAGGACATGAAAGCACTGGGCGGCCATTTTATCTCAATAACGAACTCATGAAAAGTGTGCACCCATGATCGCTCATATGACTTTCATATCTAGGACCTTCAGTCACTTGCGCGAACACTTAACCTCTAGACCATTGAACCGACATCCAATGATGTTAATGTCCAACTTCAATCGATCCATGTTCTTGAGTAATCATTTACTCATTCTTTCATAACTGTCTCACACTCGAGACGGATAGGACTCTACTAGTTACAGCTTCTCTCTAGAATCTCTAATAATAAAGTTCATTATTCTATCAAAAATTATAAGAAATAGTTTTTGTAATAAGTATTGAGGAACAGAAATTATTTAACATGTAATCAATATATAAACTTATGTAATCAAAATGATTGAAAACTTTTTATTTTATTAAACATGCCTGTTATAGGTACCAATTGTAAGTATTCATTTACTGATAAGTTCATTTAAATTACAATACTCTATATAGAAATTATATAACCATCCTTGTATTTACATTTTAGGCCTTGAAAGATGTGAATCTGACAGTAAGTTAAATGATCATTAAGGTCTATTAGATGTTAAGCTTATATTAAGGAAAAGAATATATTCCCTGTTGAATATAATAAAATACTTCTACAATAACATATCTATTAATTGAATTCATGAACCAATTAAAGTTAGATCACTATAAACAACCTGGAAGCACTATTTGACTATCGTTTCGTCCTAGTATGGTAATCCTCATCAGTATATATCCATGATCTTGCTCGTTAGATTTGAACTTATACTAGGACGAAATGGTCATCCAGTGCTACCAGGTTTTACATGGTGATCTAACATTAGTTGATTCATGAATTCAACTATTAAATTACTAAGATCTCCACAAAACCTCCTTCTTATATCGATATATTTGATTGCAAAAGATCTACTGTAGAAAAAAATGAACAATAAATTTTGACTCATGTTGCTATGTATATGTATGTAAGTAATTAAAATGTATAAGGAATACTAAAATTAGACGTATTTTTACTGAACCGATTTCATGAGCACATGTCAATTGTTTACATGGCTTTAATATAGAAGATACTGTTACGTATATTATTATTATTCTATATGCCTATTTAATGTGGTTTATAGATGATACATTTCTGTGTGTAACTTATTTGAGACCAATCCTGAAAAGCACGTATATGTATATAACCATGTAATAACTTTAGATACCAAGAATATTTGACAGGTCTAAGGTCAATAAGAACCGATGAAGATCGAGGTCTACAGGACAAGCTGTGAACCACACGTACAGAAATTCGAACACTTTACTTCTACCTGAAGTTTATGCTGCTGATGATGTTGTTCAGTAGAACGATGAAACCTTCACGACCAAACCATCAAGCTCAGAGAACAAGACTCCATCAAATTCATCCGCCTGGGCTACAAATCTTTTCCACCATATTTTTGTTTAAAAACATGTTTGAACTAAATCAATTTATGCGCATATTCAACACAATAAGTTGAATTATTAAGTCACCGAAACAATTGAGAGTAATTTCAGTGTAATACTCTGCATTCATTCATCACTTGCCAGATGCTAACTAGATGTTGGTTACGTAATAGTAACGTTAAAATACAATCAAAATCACATAAATTAGACTAAAATTCAATCTTAAGTTATTCTATTGATCCTTGCCATTTACGAGAGATGTACAATTTCAACAATAGTTGGGTCACCAAAGCCTACATTCGCCATGTGATTAATTCAAAGGTTTATAAAGAACTCTATATTCATTATTTATATTTAAACACATAAATATTGGTACAAGAAGGCATCAGATAGATATGCGACACATAAATCATTCGATTTATGTAAAGACTGGGATACTGCACGGATGCAAAAACCGATTCAGGTGGTTTTCTTAGAGTGCCTCAACCGGACAAGTCCACCTAATTGTCTGATCCACAAAGCAATCGAGCGACGTAACGAGATACAGTCACATGGTAGCCAATAACCAACAATAGGTTCATACACCATTTGTTCACTCAGGATCATGTAGCCCATGTGAACGATTGGTTTAGAATCAGGGTTTTCCAACTTGACTAGGTGGACTCTCTGTTTCCACCAACCCGGTGAAAGCATCGGGCATTCTATTTTCATCCTCTCAATTTCGCAAACAACACCGGTGCCACGAGAATGCAGTTAATAGGATTATCCTTGTAGTGTTTGTATGCACATGGTCACTTGAGAGTATTCGGGTCAATATACTCTATTTTCATAGAGTAAATTCTATAATCCAGGATGAATTATTAGTAAAACTATTTTTCTTCATCAATGATTTTCACTCTAGAGAAATATCTGAGGCCATATTGTAAGTAATGTGTAATTTCATTTCATAATTTATGCATGATACACTTTTACCTACACAATTTGCTTACTATTATTTATTCAAGGGTTTTTGTTATTACCTTCACTATACAACTTGAAAATCATTCATTTTACTGATAAATTAAAACGATTGTTTCATTGCAAGTGTGTAAACTATCAGAACTAATTAGTGACAACATTCAATCAGATGTTAAATAGAAATAATACGGTATGTTTAAATCATTATCTTAACTGTGGATCGTGTTTTTGAAACAACAAAGTTCATACTTCATCGTATACCTAATAGACAAGAAAACGATTGCTTCACATCCTACTGTTTTTACCAATTTAAATGTGTATTTGTATGTGGTCACGCATACATAGGGAGGAGTAATCGTGATCCCAAAATTAGGGTGTGTGAACATGTACCCAAATGGCTTCAGTAACAAATAGAATCAAATAACCAATAAGAGTAGAGGATAAGCATTCATCCAAGTTACAAAAGAGTTCAATTAGAGACATCGTGGTTGCTGGCAATATACAACGAAATGAATATACACTATTCAGATGTTGATTCCTGAACTGCTATTATCTAATTGGCAATCGCTCAATATTTATCGAAAGGATCGAACAAGAAATAACCAAAGGAAACTTGTTGAAATACTTTGTGTTGATAATTCTATATTATACCCAAAATATAATATTGAATGAAGCTTATAAATAATAATACAGTTAAAACTCAGTTATATACCTATCTTTAATAGTATCTGCAATTTTATTGGTTTTATTCACTGTTTAGGTAATACTGCATGTTTAAAAAGTAGGTCTTCATTAATCACTTATTTCAATATTACAAAGTAAAGTACTTCAGATTAATTACCGTTTACTGAAAAAAAACAACGTTTTTCTTAATTTTCTAATTGAGATCATGAACCAATTAGTGTTAGATCACCATTGAAAACCTGGAAGCACTGGAAAGCCATTTCATCTTATTGTGGAACTTCTCAACAGTGCACATCCACGATCCCGCAAGTAGGATTCGAACTCATGGTCGGCAGTCTCACGTGTGAGCGTTTTACTTCTAGACCACTAAGCCGGTATCCAACAGTGTTAATGTCTAACTCCAACCAATCCACGAAATTGTGCGACCATCTTCCGTTATACTAAGGTAAATACCCGTCTCTACCCAACACGCATTAGCTCCACTGATCACGGCTTCTTACTAGAACTCCCAGAATCCCCTCATGAAGCTAGTCACTAGTAAGCATATGATATTTTCTTAATGACTAATATTCATTTGTCATTTTAATGATCGTTAATAAATTCTCGAATGAGCATAGATATAAATGAATCTCAAAATTATAACTATTCTTATAATTTGTGTAATATATATTACAGTCTATTCTTCTAAGAGTGATCTCAGAGTTGTTGTATCATTGTCATCAATTATGCTATAGGATTGATTTAGACTGTAGTCATTTAACCGATAGCAAAATTTAACACAATAACGTTTGATAAGAACAAATTGAACTAAATCATGATAAATTACTGAAAATTCTCAAATGATCTTTATCCATTTGTTTTAAATTAAGAAAATTTATTTCACTATGAAAAAGGTACATTCAACTGACGAGTCCCAAACAGGATGAAATGAGTGTCATGGATTCCATTCCTAGTTATCATTCATTTTTGCCTAAAAAGTTTGTGATTTAAGGTAATATCAAGGTAATCTGTATGTGACGACGGACCACCGGTGACACTGTTTGGAATAATATTCCTTTCGTTAGTCTTCTGTCTTCTTATTGCGACTTGGAAGGGTTTGGTGTTCCAGTGCTCAGTTATACGCGGTTGTATCAAGAAAATCAGCTTTTTCAAGATATAACACTGTACAAAATGCTCATATGTCAATAAGTGATTGATCAATTGTAGTCCTAAATATCAATGAGAAGATTCAAGCAAAAAGATGGGTTGTCAAATTGAATAAACCGAAATTTTCTTACATGATAGATCATTACTTATAACAACCATTGTGTATCTACGTTATTGAATCATTAAGAATCATAAGTTGGATTTAATTTTGTAGTGGATGTTCTCATTTTCAATTATGTAAAGATTTGTCTGATTGTAAGACTCCACAATATTATGCCAGATTATTTGAATGAATGAATCGGAAGTTTCTTAAGATCTGGATTTGATGTTGTCTATAGAGTGGATTGGTATAGTTGTTTAGAAAGTATACCTGTTGTTTAACAAACAAACTGATGATTGTCATGAGTTGAAACGTAATGAGTTTCATTAACAAATACATAATACATACAAATATACATAATGTATATAATTTACATATTGTAAGGGTCACCACTTAGCTGGTAATTCAGTTATCAACAAAGTAACTTGGTGAAAATGAATGAGTTTCTGCGTTATTCTGTCAAACTTGCGGAAGTCAATGTGAAGGTTACCTTTCTTACAGCTTTGAAAATGAATTCGCCGAAAAGAGAACTCTTCGCTGAACTAATCTTTCTTATTTAATGTCTTAATAGATTTGACAATTTATTCATGGAACTTCATATACATAGTCGAAGTTGTATCATTCATGCTTTCATCAAATAATTCTATTAACATCATTTATTAAAATTTTATGCCGGTTAAAATCTGTATAGAAACGTCTTGACAATGAAAAGCAAATTTATGTCATAAGAAAACCAAATGCATCATAATTGAAACTGAAGTACTTGATGTTGTTTACTTGTATCTTTTTTGGCCTATGTGCCTCGATATTGCCTTAATTCACAAGTATTATAATCAAAAAATGGATAATGGCTAGCAGTGGAATACAGGATGTGCGTTTTGTTCTAGTTGTGACTCGTCAGGTGGATGTACCTGCATTCCAGAGTTGACGTTTACTCTGAGGCTCTAATCCAGTACCGTTCTCTTCAAACGCAATTACGTTATCTACTTAGCTAGTGGCTAGCAGCGAGAATCAAAGAAGAGCGTCTCATCCTATTTGGGACTTTTTAGATGAATGTACCTGCATTGATGTTTACTTCAAGACTAACTCATTAACGTTCACTTCAAACGCAATTACGTTATCCACTTAGCTACCGAGTTTTGGAATGAACATCAACTTTGGAATGCAGATACATCCAGATGATGAGTCCTAAATAAGAGGAAATGAGCGTCATTGATTTCCACTGCTAGTCCTCATTCATCTTTACTTATTAAACTAACTGATGTTTATGAAAGCTTAAGCGAATGTTTTACACAATTCTGCTGGCTACATTAAATAAATTGAAAAAAAATGTTTTTACAAGATATAATGTTTCTCATTCGTAAATCATATCCTGATTGATTGTAAGATAGTAACTCACTGAAAATAATGATGGATGTGACGCTCAATTTAGTGGATTATTTGAATTTAGACATTAACACCATTGAATGCCGGCTCAGTGGTCTAGAGGTTGATCGTTTATGTACGAGATCGATAGGTCCTGGTTCGTGGATGTGCACTGCTGAGGAGTCCTACAATAAGACGAAACGGCCGTTCAGTGTTTCTGAGCTTTCCATGGTGATCTAGCTTCAATTGACTGATGATCTCAACTATTGAAATTACTAAAATCTCCACAAACCCCTTCTGATGTTAAATATAAGTAATCAATATGTAAATATACACTGATAAGTGGAATATAAACAAGTTTCTTGTAAACAGGCAACCATAATTAAACTATTGACAATGTTTTGAGGATAGATACTTCAATATATAATAATGAATTGATAGACAATACATAAAATGGTCCATTTTTTATAGACTAATAAAAGCTTATTACTATTTATAAACAAAACAATTCTATTCACCTTTGATATATAGATGCTAATCCACAACATTTTTATTGTAAGTACATTTTCATATTGAACTTTGTTAAATGATTTTTCTTGATATAATTCAATTCAAATCTATTGAAACAATGGTATTCACGGACGTACTTACTTACTTTCGCCTGTTACTCCCAATGGAGTATGGGCCACCGACCAGCACTCTCTAATTATTTCTCTTCTGGACCTTTCTTTCTAGTTCTATCCGATTGTTGTTCATTCTTCGCATATATATCTCCATTTCTCGGCATAATATTTTCTTTAGTCTTCTTCTCCTACATTGGCCTCGAGGATTCCATGTGAGGGCCTGTTTTGTGACACAGTTGGGTACTTTCCACAATATGTGTCTTACCCACTTTCAATGCTTTTATGACTTCTTTCTCCATTGGGATCTCCCACAGTAGGTTGTTGATGATAGTGTCTGGCCAATGGATCCAAAGTATTTTGCGTAGGCAACTGTTAATAAACACTTGTATCTTCTGGATGACAACTTTCGTAGTTCTCCAGGTTTCTAACTCATACAATAGATCAGTCTTGACATATGTATTGAAAATTCTTACTTTGATGTTGGTTGACAGACAGCTGTTTTGGTTCCAGATGTTCTTCAATTGTAGATATGCTGCTCTTGCTTTACCGATCCGCGCCTTCACATCTGCATCAGATCCACCGTGTTCATTAATGATGCTGCCCAAATATGTAAATATTTTTACATCTTCCAAATCTTCGCCGTGAAGTGTGATACGATTGTTGCATGCTGTGTTGTATCGAAGAATCTTGCTTTTCCCTTTGTCTATATTGCGACATACTGCTGCTGAGGCTTCTGTTACTCTGGTCGTCTTCTTGTGCATTTATTGTTGCGTATGCAATAGAAGAACCAGATCACCTGAGAAGTCTAGATCGCCCAGTTACATCCTAGCTGTCTACTGTATTCCGTGTCCCCCCCAGATGTTGACGTCTTCATAATACAGTCGATCACCAGTTGATTTATCTCACATATCCTAACTAGGAAAATTGCTGGATACATACGATATATGATGACGAAGTATACAATGTTAATACCGATTTCGCTTACCGAAAATCCAAGCAGAATGAAAATAAATAAATTCTGATAAAACTATGCACTGATGTCACGTTGGATAAGTAAATATATTTAGATTCGTAGAAAGCATCACATTATCATATAAGAATTTAATGGAAAATCTCTTCTGTTAGGATAAACACAGAATAAATATCCAAATGTTGTGTGTTAATAATCTGCATGGACTACAGTAAAAAAATGGCCCCCAAATGCCTTGGTACGGCCAAGAGTGCAGAGAGTCAGCTCTCCCTCTCCAAATACTCTTAAGTGGCCACGTGCATACAAACACTACAAGGATAGTCCTATTAACTGCATTCTCATGGCATTACTGTTGTTAACGAAATTGAGAGGATGAAAATAGAATGTCCAGTGCTTTCACCGGGTTGATGGAAACAGAGAGTTCACCTAGTCAAGTTGGAAAACCCTCATTCTAAACCAATCGTTCACATGGGCTACATGATCCTGAGTGAACAAATGGTGTATGAACCTATTGTTGGTTATTGGCTACCATGTGACTGTATCTCGTTACGTCGCTCGATTGCTTTGTGGATCAGACAATTAGGTGGACTTGTCCGGTTGAGGCACCCTAAGAAAACCACCTGAATCGGTTTTTGCATCCGTGCAGTATCCCAGTCTTTACATAAATCGAATGATTTATGTGTCGCATATCTATTTGATCCCTTCTTGTATCAATGTTTATGTGTTTAAATAAATTAAGCGGAAAACAATTTTTATAAAAAAATCCTCACACTTCTACTCTTTAAGCATGATTTTCACTTTTATATTTTAGGCAATTTAGCTTGTGAAAAACATAGTAGGTCATATTATCCTCCTTTGTCATGATATGGAAACGTAAATAATGAAAAAATTTTAAAAAACAAACAAACAGTTATTATTATATAATGATTAAAACGTTGTGTATTACCATCAGTTTTATACATAAACCATATATGAACCTGAATTTCATTTAGAAGGATGTATGTTTAGTAGTATTTTTGTGTTACGATATCCATATCTTAATGGTTATTGTTATAACTTGTGCCCTGTATCCCTACCAATGTATAACGTAATGATACCTTTAATTAGAGAACAATGAATTATCGACCAGATCAACAGTACATAAAACAAGTATGAGCAGTCTAGAATCTTTACAGGTCATTCTACCCGCCTTTTGAGTACAGAACACCAATCTGAGCCTCTGCAATATGAATCATTCTATTTCAAACATACTGGGTTTATATACTAATCAAACAGACCACATCGTACCATAAAATAGGAAACAACATTTTTACAAGATTTAGCCAAAAATGGGCAATGAATATGAGAGATAGTAATTGATAAATTGGGCATAGCTCAAGAATGGTATATTAATAGTTCACAGATCAAAATAAAGCTTATAATAAGAGGGACACGAATATAAATAGTTTAGTTACTTAACAATTACACCATGAAAATATGCGCATAGTATTGGTCTATAAATGGATCCCAAAAGTTACCATTCATTATTCTCATCGAGATATAACAGTTATAGTTCAGTTTATTTTAGTGAACTCCTTATAGATTCATCAGATGAACTCATTTGATTGTAGTGTTTTCATTAAATGCTCATTCATATCAACATTTATATTGACACATCCTTATCTAGTGAGTTATTGTCTGAATTCCATGAATTACTTTCATTAGTGAGCATGAACTCAAAATATCTACGTTTGTTAAATCACATTGTATCATTGTAAGATTCACTGACAAATAAACTTAAACTACTTCAAATTTCATCAGGTTGAAGCTAAAATATTATCATCATCCAACATTGTTGAATCAAGTTTCTAAGTATTTCAAAGCGTTAAGGATAATCACCTTTGAATCTAGTCACCACCTAAATACAATGACAGTGCTGTTTTATTTCTCTGTTGGTTACCAATGAAAAAAAAAGACTAATTTCTTTTTATTTGTATTTTCATCAATTTCCTCTTAAATGTACTTCGATACACATGTGTATAAATACATGTTTATGAGCAAATAGATTATTTAATGAACACTTATTGTTATGGATTCTCAAGTTGACAACAAGTTATGATGCTAACTGTACAATAAAAGTATGATATTTTTAAATGTTTGCTGTTGTTGTTGTTGTGTAATTACAGGAGACAAGAGTTCCGCAACTGCAGAATCAGTAATTGATAATAGTAAGTTACAAAAAAGAAATAGAAACTCGAAACATCTGAAAGTTTGTAACTTGATCATTTAAGTTTACAACTTCATAAAAACGTCCTAATGAAACCTTGAATCTTGAGAATGTAATGAAATATAATATTTCACAAGCATTATAAGCAAAGATGGAAAGTGGCTAGCAGTGGAATCCAGGACGAGCGTCTTAACCTGTTCGGGACTCGTCGGCTGGATGTACCTGCGTCTCAGAGTTGATGTTCACTCTGGGACTCGAACTCAGTACCGTTCGCTTCAAACGCCATCGTGTTATCCACTTAGCTACTGAGTCCTGATAGCCACTTGCTTGTGCAATGGGTTGAAGTTTAATTCACTTGATATTATTTTACTTGAATCTTCCCATTGATGTTTTAGGACTGAAACTGATCAGTCTCTTATTGGCATATGTGCATACTGAGCGCATGCCTCGATATTGCCTTAATTTACAAGCATTATAAGCAAAGATGGATAGTAGCTAGTAGTGGAATCTAGTTTGATGCGCGTTTCGTCCTATTTGGGACTCGTCAGCTAATCAATTGCCGTCCTAAACATCAATGAGAAGATTCAAGTAAATAATACCAAATTGAATTTAAATATATTATTGTTATTCAAATTTTCTTGCTTATTATTTATTATACTTAATTGTTAGAACATCATTTCAAGATGATAGATTCTATAAGACGATAAGCTCTATTAAAGTATTTCGATGTTTTCAACATTTATTCAAGATAAATTCTTAGACAATATACGTTTGTAAATAAAGAAAAGTTGAAGTTGATATAGTGAGCTTTATTGGGTCGCATAAATGTCAAATAAAATAACTTTAACCTTGAATTTACTTGGTGTTGTTTGCTTGTATATTCCCACTGTTATTTACGATTGCAATTGATCAGTCTCTTATTGGTATATGTACCTCTAATTCGCCTTAAGTCACAAGCTTTATAAATGCAAAGATAGATAGTGAATAGCAGTGGAATACAGGACGTACATTTCGTTTTATTTAGGACTGATCACGTGGATGTACCTGAATTCCAGAGTTGATGTTCACTCTGGGACTCCAATCCAGTACCGTTCTCTTCGAATATCATCACGTTATCCACTTAGCTACTAAGTCTTTTTAACCCTAGTTACTTCAAATTTATTCGGTTGAAATGAAAATGTATGAATCATTCCTTTTACTACCTATTACATTTGCTCGTGAAACTTATTAATACCAGAATTGTCTGGACGTGTATTTATAACGTGAACTCTCGTAAATTCTGGATGTAAATGATAACTATTATACTGATACTTTTTTAGTCCATAATGATAACTGTACTATATATACAATGACCTAGAAATAATTTTAAACTTTTTATTGTAGTCATAGGAACAATTGGATATGAATACTGTAAGTTTTTTGTACTCGAAGCTGAAAATCAGAAAACTACTTCCATTCACCATTGTTTTATCTATTTACAAGTTTCATATTGTAGTTAGTATATAAGAACTTTCGTTCAAAATTTGATCCAACAGTTTCATAGTATTTGGTCGTCGAGTTGATGTAAGACAATAAAGTGGAAGGATACGTATTTGTAAAATCTCAACGAATGAATTTCAAGTAAATCCAATGTAGACAGTAGTCTTACATCTGTAACTAGTATTCACCAGCTAGTAACATTTCAAAAACAAATGTCATATACAATTGGTTATTATATATCCTTTAGTTATTTGTGAATATTAAAGTTCTGCTAATAAACGTTCATGGACTATCTATCTGAAGTTTGTGCTGATGATGTCGTTCAGAAGAACGATGAAAGCTCCACGACCAAACCATCTAGTTCAGAGAATAAAACTCCATCAAAATAATATATCTTTAATATCCAAATGAGCAAAAACACTAAATTATGTTACGTTTCATGACTTAGTGTAATCCATTTCTGTGAATAACTAGACGTCATCCATTGGAGGATTTGTAGAGATTGTAGCATTTTAAAAATTGAATTCACTAATCGATCTAAGCTAGACAACCATTGAAAGACTGTAAACATTGGACGGTTAAGAATTCTCGATGGTGATCGAAGATTCAGGGTTTGAATCCCGCATGCATGTTGATGCATGGGAACAGCTGAATTGTTCTATACTAGAACGAAACAGCCTTTTAGTGATTTACAATTCATCACAAAATGTAATCTATCCAATGCGTAATTTATTTTGAATTATTTAATCAAACTATAACAATGTTACTTACAAACTCATATTTTCACCAGATGAATAATCAGTCAGGTCTACTAACATTTAAACAGTCCTAGTATGGGACTCCTCAGCAGTGCGCATCCACGATCCCCCCACGAGATTCAAACCCAGGACCTATCAGTGTCGCACATGAGCTCTTAACCATTAGATCACTGAGCTGGCTATTCAATGGTGTTAATGTCTAACTTCAGTCTTTTATAAATGATACTAAATATCCTCGATTTAATAATTCAAGTGAATATTCATTGAAGAACTGAGATTCTATGAGTTGCATTTTTTTTAAAAACAAAATTTCTTTTCAGGTATTATTGGCTGTAATAGTACGTGATTATAAAGTTTCAACGACATTATTTAATGTTATAGTTATTATATATTGAAGAAAAAGAACAATCGAGAATTCACGTTTTAATATATGAAATTAGTAAACCCTATATTACATGGTTAAATTTTCTTCGTATTTAGACTCATCGTATAGTAGAGAAAGATGTAAGCCTATACAATTGTCTGTTTTTCCATAAGTGTATGTTTATAGTTTATAAACAAGTTCATTAATATATGAATATGAATCAATGAATACTATCTACAAATATAAGCAAAGATGGATGGTGTCTAGTAGAGGAATCCAGAATGTGCAATTGATCTTATTTTGAACTTGTGAGCTGAATGTACCTGAATTTCAGAGTTATTGTTTATTCCAGGACTTAAATCCTATACCGTTCGCTTTATATGTCATCGCATCAATCTGTATAGGATGCACATATGTCAATAACAGACTGATCAATTACAATCCTAAACACAAATGGGGAGATTCAAACAAACAATACCAAAATGAATTAAAATTTCACCCGATTCCTCAAGATAGTGGTTATCGGGACTTAGTGACCAAATGGATGACGCGATTTCATTTAAAGCGTAAGGTAATGGGTAAGAGTCCTGGAGTGAAAACCAACTCTGGGATGCAGACACATCCAGATGACGAGTCCCAAACAGAATGAGACGCTCGTCTTTGATTCACACTGCTAGCCATCATTCATCTCTGCTTATACTGTTTGTGATTTAAGACAGTATCAAGACAATCCGTAGAGGATCCATGTACACCAATAAGAGACTGATTGATTGTAGTCTTGATCATCAATAAAAAGATTCAAACACACAATACAAAAATGAATCAATATCTACGAGTGCGTTACATTCTATTGAGAACTTAGACGAGAGAGCAATGATTTAAAGTCAGAATTTAAATTTCCGCATCTTAATGAAGGTCAGTTTAAGTTGAAAGAATTAGTAAAGGAATAAATTCAGTGTGATAAATACAGTCCGTCTAAATTAATAACTGGCTAAATAGAAGTGACTACCATAAAACCGCTTGAACTATAAATTGTAGGAATAAATAATATTCCTTACTACTGATAACAGTTTATGCTGTAAATAAACAGACTTAAAGAACAATGTTCCCTCTCCATTGTCTAGTATCGACCTTTCTGGACTGAAGGTCAATTGACCTGATAAAACCTTAAAAATTATGATTTTACGCTGGTATTACTATCACGTTACTGACTAATCGACTTTCAGTTCACTTCAGACTGGTTCTTCATTGCGAGTGTCAATAAAATTCCAATGCGCTTGAATAAGCGGTAGTAAATCCGTATAACATTCGATCAAGTGAAAATATGAAAATTTCATGGCACTATTTATTTTACACCTGGTCCATTATCAATACACTGACTCTGCTCTTAATGATCTTGTATTAAGAAAAAAATTGTCCTGCCAACAAATTTTTACTTGTTGAAAGAATTTCATGAACATGTCTTACACATTAAACTATCTGTTTCTTTCAAATCACTAGCAAATGATTAGATGATAATGAACTCGTCAAACATGGGAAGAAGTAGCTATAGTTTATCGCATTCTTTCCACTTATAAAGCTGCTAGGTGTTTTATCGTGATGAGCACAGTTTTTGTGCCTAGCTGATTATCATTCCATGATAGATAGTGGCTAGCAGTGATATCCAGGACGCGCGACACTTCGTCCTATTTGGGACTCGTCAGCTGAATGTACTTGTATCTCAGAGTTGATGTTCACTCTTGGATTATAATTCGGCCTAAGATGTCACACATATTCCCTCTTCCATTAAGTCTTATCTCTTCTCATTAGATGCAGCAATTTATAATGAAAGAAATGGTGTCACTAAATCACATTTTTATTCTTTTCATTAATATGCAGAAAGTTGAACTTGAAATGGCTTTATTATTTATTTGTTGTATCAGTTCAAACTATCATATAACTATTTATTTAAAGACAAATACTAATCAATACAACCGATTCATCAACATTTTTATTGCTTCTTTCCTTTACAACTCACCTTATTATTAACTGAAACATTTCAAAGAACATTTTTTCTTATTGTTATTTTCTGTAAAAGTACTTTTTCATGTTGGGTCTTGTAGTCGTTGTATCAATAACTAGTCAACTTAATTTATATACACCACTTGAAATTACTTACTTACGCCTGTTACTCCCAATGGAGCATAGGCCGCCGACCACCAATCTCCAACACACTCTGTCCTGGGCCTTCTTTTCTAGTTCCATCCAATTCTTGTTCATTTTACTCATGTCTATCTCCATTTACCGGCGTAATGTGTTCTTTGATCTTCATCTCTTCCTTTGGCCTTGATGATTCCATAGGGGGGCTCGTCTTGTGACCCAGTTCGGTGCTTTCCTCAATGTGTGTCCTATCCACTTCCAGCGCTTCTTTCTGATTTCTTCCTCCTTTGGGATCTGGTTTGTTCTCTCTCACAGTAGATTGTTGATGATAGTGTCTGGCCAATGGATCCAAAGTATTTTAAGTAGACAACTGTTAATAAACACCTGTATTTTCTGGATGATGGCTTTCTTAGTTCTCCAGGTTTTTGCCTAATACAGTAGAACTGTCTTGACATTTGTATTGAAAATTCTTACTTTAATGTTGGTTGACAGACAGCTGTTTTGAGTTCCAGATGTTCTTCAGCTGTAAATCTGAAACTCAAAACTCTGCCTGAAGCCTTTCCGTCGGCTACTGCCAGTCCCAAGCCCGGATAAAAGAGGAAGGTTGGGTATGGGGCTAGCGACTCAATCCCGTAGAAAACTAACTGGCTAAAAAAACGCTAACCAGAAAAAAGTATTGCAATCACTCGAAATATTACTAGTTAAATGCTTTCCAATCTATGATGCATCATTAGAATATGCTTTAAGTTATCATTGTGAAAAAAGGAATATTTACTTTACTCAATCTCTTTATTAACATAATATTTTGAAATATTTTACTAAAATCTTCATTTCTGATTTGAATTCATGTTAAATGACTGATTCATTTTAAAGATAAAGTTTACTTTCACATGTATTAGATGATCGTCTTCACGACGATCAGTTTTCACGATTTCGACCAGCAGATGAGGATATATATATATAGGCGACATCCTATGAGTTAAATAACTTTTATTCATTACTTAATGACAAATAATGATGATTTTATTAGTAAACGACTACAGAAAAATTAATGTTTGCTATCTGAACTTCCATTTATTGCAATTAAAGGTGAATATGATTGTGAAAGTGTTTGTAAGTCAATCAAGTTTTCATGAAACGTTATGGTATTAATTTATTTTCAAAGTTGAATTCATGATTTAATTTAAGCTAGATCACCATTGAAAACATGGAAACACTGGAAGGCCGTTTCATCCTAGTAAGGAACTCCTCACCAGCACTCATTGATGATTCCTCACCAAAGATACTCGAATCAATGAACTTCGGTCTCGTGTGAGATTGCTTAAACTCTAGACCATTGAGCCGACATCCAATGATGTTCAATGTTTGATTTCAATCAATCCATGATCTTGCGCAGCCCTCTATCCATTCTTTGATAACTGCCTCACCCCCCAAACGGATCGGACTCCACTAGTCACGGCTTCTCAATGGAGCCCTTGGAAAACCATATTAGAGCTAGTCACTAGTGACCACATGATTATTATTGGAATGAGGTTTTGCAGAGGTTAAGCGTTGATACGTGAGACCGAAAGCACTTGGTTCGAGTCCTGCATGCGGAATCTTTGATGTGCACTGCTGAAGAGTCCAATACTAGGACTTAACGGCCGCCCAATGCTTCCAGGTTTACCATGGTGGTTTAGCTTAGATTGACTTAATAATTTAACTTTGATAATTTGTATTAAAAAGCGTGCTCAGCGTTACTTCACCTCTCCTAGCCGCTTCGTGATTAAGAAAGGCCCATACTTGACATATCAAAATCCATTTAATAACAAATGAAAACTATGGTCAGATACAAATATCTGACCATTTCGTAGTTATTTTGTTGTATCATTGCAGCCGATGTCCTTGAAAAGAATGGACTTTCTTTGCTGATAAAAACAGATTGAGATGAATTATCTTTGAATGAAATCGTCCTACAATTTTTAATTATGACTCCGGCCGGGAATAAAACGAGGACCTCTTTTGTTTAATTTCGTAAGCATCAAATTAATGATAACGTCAAGTAATTAAATTACTCGTATTTACAACTCTACATAATTCATGATAAAGAGTACTTTGCCATACAAATTATGAAATCTATACGGTCCTACACCCTGTGTTCAAGAAATCCTCTTAAGTTTCACTTTTTTTCTCTCTCGCCCAATCATACGAATAACTTTCGATCATTGATATGATGTTGTTTGGCATTTACATTCAAAGTGAATAAGTTTAGTTTATTTTGCTGATTTAAACCACTTTTGTTGTGACGATAAGATAACTAGTGTTGTAGTGTCGGTTACTATGCCAAGCCCATATAACTTATTCTAGCTTCCGGATAAGTTAATTTATCCATTCTTCTCAAGCTACATTTTGAGCTTGATAATTATTCACTTATCCCTCTTAATAGCCTTTATATGAGCGTATGTTTATGTACATTTTATCCTACTCATCACATGTCTGTAGCTTATTTTTGTTTGACTATAAATATTGATTACCGCTTGATTAAATCGAGTTGGCTTACGTGCCTTCTCCACTGCACATCATTCCGTTTCACTTTGTTCCTTCGATCGTCTGCCTGGATCAATGATTGTACAAAATATACGTATTCAAACATCCATTCACTTATTGGACTTATTTATTCACTAACGCGAATTAACTTGGTAATTATATATGAGGATAGGCAATATGTATACTTTGGTGGAGTTTTGTTCTCTGAGCTGGATGGTTTGGTCGTGGAGCTTTCATCGTTCTTCTGAACGACATCATCAGAACAAACTGATGTCGTTCAGAAGAACGATGAAAGCTCCACGACCAAACCATCCAGCTCAGAGAACAAAACTCCACCAAAATCATCCACCTGAGCTAAAAATCTCCACCATCTCAATATGTATATTTCAATGAACAATCAAAGATATGATATAACTAGAGTCAGATCCCGGGCCATTAAAGTATAAATTATTAAATATCCATTTGCTTATTAGAGATTAGGAACATTTTGATGAAAACGTTTAGACTACACATATACAAAAAATATTTATCAATGTTATCGATTTGCAGCTGACTTCATCTCAAAGTGTAAGTTATACAAAGTTATTTATCTGTTAAAAGTTAAGTACATGAACCGTACAAATACTTCATTGAGAATATTAAAAAAATAGACTGATGGCAGGAACAGGTAGCGCAAATACTCAAGTAGGCCGTCAATATTTGAGGTGTGTAGTTGATAAATCGTGAAGAACAAACTATTTTAATAGATTATCCGTGTATTACAATGTGAATGGAATAAGATATTTATTACTATGTTTTTTGTTATAAGAAATAAAGATATTAGAAATGTACCAGAAGGTGTTTTGTGGAGATTGTTGTAATTTCAATAGTTGAGATCATGAGTCAATTGAAGCTAGACCACCATGGAAAACCTGGAAGAATTGGACAGCCGTTTCGTCCTATTGCGGGACTCCTCAACAGTGCGCGTCCACGATCCTACCTTGCAGGACACGAACCCAGGACCTATCTGTCTCGCATGCGAGCGCTTAAGCACTGGAGATGTTCAATGAAATGAAGGAATATTTTAAAAATCATAGATGTATGTAAAGTAATTAAGGAGAGAGGGTGATATTTTTAAATATGAAATAAATCGATAAGAATAATAGAAACGTACTAGACGTACATCTTTTGTATATACAGTTATGCCTTCATTTTATGAATATCAAGAGCTTCTGCAGCGTTGAAGTGTTTGGTACAAAGATATCTAAGTAGATTTACTCGGATTGTATAAACAACCATATAATCTATTTGTGGATCAGTGAAGTGGTCGGAATGGGATATATATTCAACAATACAACTTGTATCTGCTTTCGTCTAAACTTTGTTGAACCACATTGTAAAGTGTAGTTCAAAGTAAGCTCTATCTCCGCGTGTTATACCTTGCCCCACAAAGAGCAAGTAAACTGGTGGATACACATAGAAGTAACCAGATAAGGGTGCCCATTGATTGTGGATACAAAAAATAAGCTGGTTAACGTTAGTCTAAGCTTTGCTGTATGGATCGTTTATTTTATCGCTTCTGCTAACCAACTTTTAAACACATTAAAAGTTTTGTCACCCTTAAATTCCAGATTTATAAAAAGATATTTCTTTAGCACGGAATTACCAGATTTTTTACTCTAACATCAGTTCACATTCGTCTCTATGAAATGGTTCGTATAGCCGTTTTTAGCCGACGTTTCTCTGAGGAACGCAAGTTCTTCATCAACGCATTCAGTATTACAGATCTTACGACTTCAGTAACACAGTGAGTAAATAAGGTTCCTGAATCTGTTTACCGTAACCTAGAAATTGAAGTTACTCAGTTTTTTTGTTTTAGATTTCAAAAAATCTGTCATTTGCCCTTACCAGAAGTATATCGAGAAACGAGCTAGACTATCCTACTTCATTTTCTAACTTAAAATCTACGGTAGAATGGGATATGTTTAAAAAAAAGACGAAAAATGTCAACTAGTTCAATATTTCCGTAGCAAATGACCAAAAAGGTCGTTCATTTATCTTTTGTATGGATTAAATCAAACAGTGACCTAGGCAAATTGATTGTTTTCCAGCTTATACACGAAACAGTCTCCTAAAACTGGACACAGTGGAAATCTTATTACTATCCCATCTCTTTGTCTGTATATTTCATTATCAAAACCGAAATGGATATTGAACGTACAACATAACAATAAGTGAAATGAATCCAGAAGTACTACTATTGTTACTATCAACAGTATATATTCTAGCATTAAAACTCTTTTAATACATTGTCGTGTTTATTCATTATTCATATATGCAGATTGTACAGATTGATAGTGAATTCGTTGAAAAGAGAACCATTTGACGAACTTCGAATTTTTTATCTTTTAAGCTAATTGATTTGAAGATGTAATTATAGAACCTCAAGAGAATTTATTCTTCATTCATATGTCTATTTGGTTGTGTAATCTAACATTGATCAGTTTATGATTTCATTGAATTTTAACAATCTCTACAACCTCATACTGAAAATTATCATGTGATCACTTACGACTAACTTTGATAAGTAACTCTCGGAGTTCTAATGAGAAGTCATGACCAGTAGGGTTTAATTGTATTGGATAAGAAGCAGTTACCTACCAAAGACAATGGAAATCTGATAATATGGTGAAAAGTTTTTAGCGAATAAAGTATCTTAATAAGATTATTGTGATGTTTTCATTTAGAGATTGAAATCAGTTGATCTAGTTGTTAGAGCTCCTTAAAAACACTTGTAGCCTATATTGAAATCATTACATTTGGGTTGGGGAGCAGTTACCATTGATTATATGACTGGTACTCTTTCTGGATTAACCTAATGGTTGTAAGATCGGTCATTATGGTGTAGAATTAAATTCTAGTTCGATACTAGTATACTTAACTTTGCTACCATAATAATAATAGACCTATTCCCAGAATTGTAGATACGTCATGATGTGACTACCTGATCTATATGATCTTACGTAGAAGTCACATCATAGTCTACGCTGACTCGTCCTATCGTTATCATCAGAAATATGATGTTTAACAATTCTGAAGAGAACATTTGAGTTGGGGTAGAATAATATGTTTTATGTGAATAGTAATAAGTTACACATAATGACTACACCTGCAAGTCTAAGCCATACCACCTCGAATGATTGTTCGCATGTTTACTATTGTTGACCTTCTCTTAATCTTACATGTCAATCTTCTCGGTAATTATAAGTTTAGCTTAGAGAAAATCGTGTGGTTAACAACCAATATCACTACAAATATACATATCAACCTATAGCTACTGACACTAACTTCACATACACTTTTTATTAATCTATGTAATTTAAATAATATTCAATTTATTTGCAGGTTACAGAGTTTGTCGTGGCAGTGAGTTTACTAGCGTTTCATGTATATTTGAGTTAAATACCATGAATGTTGATTAAGAAGAAATATGTTTTCATAGAAGCATCCATACTAATTTTAAAATTATACCGGTTAATATCTTGTTCATTGTGACAAAAGTTTTCATGAATATTTTGATTGTTTCAGAAATTTGCTTTCAAGATATAATTTGGGACGCTTCAAAAATAAATTTTTTTCCGATGGATATCATGAATCGATCAATGTTAGACCACAATAGAAAATCTGGAAGCACTGGACGGTTGTCTTGTCTCCATAATCCCATAATGACAGATATCTACTTCAGTACAATGGAAGATGGTCGCGCGATTTTGTGGATTGGTTGAGATTAAACATTAACAACGTTGGATCCCGGCTCAGTGGTCTAGAGTGTAGGCGTTAGCGCACGAGGCTGAAGGGCCTGGGTTAGAATCCCGAGAGTGGGATCGTGGATGCGCACTACAAAAGAGTCCCACAATAAGACGAAACGACCGTTCATTGCTTACAACTTCTCAAAGGTGTTCATGATCTCAACCAAAAACATAATAAATTATTCTTCATTTAAGAAAGAAAGCGTATTTTGTCATGTCCGTAAATACGACTATACTTTTTCGGCCATACTTGTAGAATTTTCGTCTCCAGCTAATTCATTGTGATGTTGATTAAATTCTCAACTTATTTCATGGGTTTAATTATATTTAACTGTTAAACGTTTTCAGAACATACCAGCCTAGATGCACTTTGTAAGTCATTTAGAAACTATTATTATTCCATTACCGCCTGAAAAATATCATCATAATATCTTATATTACTTTCCGTGTAACATAGAGTGTATTCTATTCAACCAAAAATTTGCAGTATAATGGTACCGATATATTCATTTAACTATTATTTACTTACTTAAGCCTGTTACCCCTCGTGGAGGAGCATAGGCTGCTCACCAGCATTCTCCATCGAACTCTATCTTGAGCAATCCTTTCCGCTTGTTTCCAGTTGCTATTCATCCTTTTCATATCTGCTTTTATTTCCCGATGTAGTGTGTTCTTGGGTATTCCTGTCTTCCTCTTCCCTTCACGATTCCAAGTTAGAATTTGCCTCATGATGCAGTTTTGGGACTTCCGTAGTGTATATCCTATCCATTTCCAACATCTTTTCCTAATTTTCTTTTCAGCTTGAAGCTAGTTTATTCTCTCTTACAGTAGGCTGTTGCTGATGGTATCTGGTCAACGGATATTGAGTATCTTACATAGACAGCTATTTATAAATATTTTTGCCCTTTTGATGATAGATGTAGTAGCTCTTCAAGTTTCAGCTACGTACAGTATGACTATCTTAACATTCGTATTGAAGATTCGCACTTTGATGTTTGGTTGACAGTTGTTTTGAGTTCCATATGTTTTTCATTTATAAGAATGTGGCCTTTATTTAACTATCACGTATATAATAACCTTAATGAGTCAGATAATTGAAACAATGAAAAGAATTACATACTATGCTTTAATGCATTTCGAAAAACAAAATGATGAAATGATTTCTATGTCAATTCACGTTACAATAACTCTTAAGAAACACAATAACGAATTTCAATAACCCAGGATAAATTGTTTTATAGTAAGATGTAAAGTGTCCTCATGAATTACATCATTAAAACTTGAGATCAATCTTCTAAAGATCGTTGAATGTATTTAAGCTACAATATTGTTTATGCCCTTTCGAAATGATCATATTCTGTTCTCAACATTTCTTACTGTCAACTTGTTGTGGATGCGGAGGAATAGACCAATAATTACCCATAATTAAGTCCAATGGTGTCCTTGGACTTTAAATGGACATTTCCTATTGGTCGATATCTGTTCACTTGTTGAATATTGTACAAAATGTTGTTTTCTATTTTTATGGTACGATGTGGTATGTTTGGTTAGTATATAAATAGAGTATGTCTGAAATACAATGATTCATATCTCCGAGGCTGTGACTTTGTTCTGGATTCAACTGACTGGGCTAGACAGAGAAGCGAGACCAATCGAGACTCTAGGCCGTCCGTACGTGTTTACGTGTCACTGTAACCGGTCGATAAGTACGCTGCTCTCTAATCTCTTCAGTCAAGGACACAACAATTAGCACAGCGTAAAAATCGACACAACTTAAATTCATAACACAACTATAAATGATTATCTAGAAACTGAAATCAATGAAATCTAACCCTATGTAATTTGAATAAAATATTCATTCAAAAATTGTTTACAATCTAAAACCGACCACTTCCTAATAATCTTTTGTATGGAATGAACTTTTAAACTGGATCACATTGTAGTGAACACGAACACCAGTGGGGACAATCGAATGTACTTAACACAACATTACAGGACTTGTTAGTAAAATCTAACAATCCTAAAGTAAATGCTTGATTTGCAAAATGTCCATCAATTGTCTCAAAATGACTCAGACTTCATTGTTCTTGCATTTCCGTACAAATTGCATCCTATTTCCATTGTTTACTGTTCAATCCTCTTGTCTCTCTGCTGCCAGACCTTCTATTCACGACTAACATTATATACTACTTATGTCAATATAAGTAGCACACACCACAATATCAGCATGATATTTATGTTTAGAAATATCACATTCTAACTAATAATATCCAAACGACTGTCAAAATCAAAATGGTTTTTTAGTTTATAGTTTTTTTCAAAAGAGATATCTATCGAAATTGGTCACACTGTTCTTGTCGAATTATCAAGTTAAACACTTAAACAATAGTTAAATTGATTCATATTACTTTAAGGTCTTTATAAATGTGAATGGCAAAGTAAGTGTTGTTACAAGCTTCCCTTGTATAATTAAGATATTTTTTCTTTGGAACTACTCATAAAATTATTGATTTATTTATTTGAATACATAAATATTGGTACAAAGGGGCACCGAATACATATGTGCTACACAAGTCACTTGTGTGTGTGTGTGTGTGAGGGGAGGGTCTGTGATACTGTCCGGGTGCTCAGACTGGGAAAGGTTAACATAGAGCTTCAAAACATGTTAATTTGATGAATATAATATTGAAAATCCCAGAAAACGTTTTATTTATACTTCATTACCTTTATATATAACTGAATGTAAAATAAGGTATGATTATGAGACGTTTATTGGTTTTTATCCATGCTAACAATAATGATATACGATATTGAATGTATGATTGATTGTTCGTTGCTAGATTTGAAGCTATCACGAGTTCACTTAATCTGCGAACGAGAAACAAGACTCGGTGACCAAAGACCATTAAGCTAGCTATTGACGCAGCCCCGCTAACTAGAGGGAGAAGTCCAAACTTGGAATGGGAAGTATATTTTGTATATTATATTGAATAAAGTATTATCTAACCTATGTTTTGGTTCTTTTTATTTAATTATAAATCATGTACCAGTCAGTCAGCTATAACGTAAAACCAAGCACATATATGTATCGGTCCAAGTTGCCATACCTCATTAGCACAGCAAGATAAACACCGAATTCATAGTAGTCACATCAATGGTAGTAATATATAAAAGAAAGATTGCATATAAGGACATAATACAGAAAGGGGAAACTAGTTCGCAGAAGGAAAGATATAAAACAGTTTTAATCTCATGGTTGAAGAGAAGACAAAGAGTGTATACATCTATGCCATTGTGATCGATTCATGTACCAGATACTTGGAAGCACTGGACAGCCGTTTCATCTTAGTGTGGGACTCCTCCGCAGTGCTCATCTACGATCCTGCCTCGCGAGATTCGAACCCAGGACCTATCAGTCTCGCGCACGAACGCTTAACCTTTAGACCATTGAATCGACTGACATCCAACGCTGTTAATGTTTAACTTCAACTAATCCACTAATTATAATAAATTAAATGACCTCAACTCAAATTCAGTGAAACATAATATCAGCTGTCATAAAATAAAACTTTCTTTCAGAATGATTTATTCAGATATTTCTACTTATGAAAATCAAGTATCATACTTTACATTGTTTTATTTTTCTGAAAAATCTAGAGAAAAACGGGCTTATATCAGGTAAATGAGAAGTTGAAGTTCTGAATAGTTTTGTTTGTTAAATGGTAAAATGAAAAGTTGCGAGAGAGAGAGAGAGATCACATTTGTATATATAGTAACGTTGTCATTGACTTTTCTCTAGAAATCGATATTGTGCCCATTTAATTCAAAAGAAAGAAATAATTGCATATATTATGTTCATTTATGAATGATGTACAAATTTGAGTATGCCTACTTCACTAAAGTATTTCATATAGAAAGGCGCCACTCAACTGATGTCGGTTTAAATGTCATTTATCTAATTGAACTTATAAAAGAAGAACTGAATCAGATCATTTCATAATTTATGTTATACAATCATACTGTATATTTGATATCACATCACAATCCTTCATATGAACGCGAATACGTATGAAATAAACACTATGTCAAACAATCTTTAACAAACATGAAAGTGGGATGTCTTAGCATTCTGTACCTCATCAGCATGATGGTATTTTACCAATAACACATAGATTCAATTAATATTAGTTAAGACAATAAAGATTTTGAGCTGTTTGTATTATTCATTGAAATACATTATTTGATTTGAAGATAATCCATCCCTATTACAAATAATCTATTTATCATTGTTTCAATAACTGATATAATTGGAAAGATTATAACGCATGTAAGTATAACTTTTCTATAAAAAGTTCCATAAAACTTAAACCACATTCAATGTGAAATGACTTACTACATTCAAATATCATTTATATGAAGTATATACAGTTTACCTGACCGTTGCTGCTACCTTGACATAGTGGTCGAGTTTGCCTGCCGTGATGAACCGGTCGAGTTATACTGGCCGAAACAATCGTTCCTCAAGGTCCTATCATACCAGAGAGGTCGGTTGAAGGATGGTAGCAATCTCAAGGTTCGAAGGTGAAGTCATACTGCTGACTGTACAGAGGTGTGACGGCGGTAGGGTATTCCCTTTAGTTGACCAGCATAAAAGCGATGCTGACTTCCCACAAGGAGGGGTGGGATTAGAAAACGTTGACCCTAACAATGCACACCTCGCCTTATCCCACGGATATCCGTCTCCGATGGTAAGGTCTAACACGAAAATTACTCACAAAAGGATCGTGTGTGACCGACCTCAAGCAGTTGTCCCTTAGGCACTGTGGTCACACTCTCAGGTCACCAAAACCACCCCTAACCCAATTTCCTTTTCAGGCACTTCCAGAAGAACTCTTCCATGGTGTGGGCAACCAGGAAGTGATAACTTCCTTCATACCTCTAACAGCACTCAAGAATAATATAATTTAAAGTTACCTTAAAAGGTAATCTAAATAAAAAAACCCTTAACTTACTATCAATTATCTTTTGAAGATAATGGAGGGTGATTGGACAACATTATCGAATAATAAATGTTAGACATATATACCACTGCATATCAACTAAATGATTTAGAAGCTACGTGTTCTTATATATTATTTGAGATCCTTAGTTTGATACCCTTTTTAACTAATGAATACTTATCTGTTACCTCTTTGTCTAAGTTCGAGTCATTTATATTCATATATTCATTCGTAAACTTATCTAACCAACTGTCATAAATATCATTTGAAATAACGTTTATTATTTCAGGTACGAGTAATTGCATTAAAGAATAATCATATGGATGATCATGATGAAATATTTGTATTCACGTTACGAATATACATGAAGAATTTCTTGAATAAGTTGAATATTTAACTAACCCTTCTAACATACATTTTGGTAAATATGACTATAATTAACTAATGATGTTATCCATTAGACCATGGTTCTTTCTATTTTTCAACACCGAAATGTGTTTGAGATTGTGTGTGTATTAAACGATATAATTGATGCTTTATTCATTTACGTTGATTGTTTTAATCATGTTTAAGACTATGACAAATCAATAGCTCTGTCAGTTTTCGACATTAGATGCTAACAATATTCGTTTAATGGACTCACCTAGTTGAAGGCGCTCGATCATGCATCCGCATCAGATCACAAGTGGGAACGCCGTGCTCAATTTCTCTTGCAACAGTTAGCCAGTTTAGATCAATCACTTCTCGATATTATTGATAACCTACGAAATATATCTTCGAACCCCTTCGCTTCTGACTTTTGATTTTGGATACAACCAGCGTAACAAATACGAGATTACTATGAAATAATGTTTGTAGAACAATTTAATTTGCTTACATTGTCGCTAGAAGTGATTTTTTAAGACTGTCATTTATCTAACTTGGAAATCGGAGGTTCAAATATAACAGTACTCTTGAATAGACCCACAGGTACGGTGACAATTTAAGCTAATCTTGTACAAAAAGTATGTAAAACTAGTTAACATATTCGACTAGTTCTAGATGTGGTCAATTCACCTTAATACACAACTGTGAAATGGCTAGTTGAACTTCTGAAGTCATTACACAAAGAAGTCCGACAGCGCAAAGTCAAAGATAGTCTTAAATTTGTCTATAGAATCAGTGATTTGAATGCGAACGGTTAATTCATGAAATAACTTGATATATTTTATTTATTTATAAACGTGCTTATCAGAGAAACACTTAAATGATTTATAAAATCGAGGAATGGAAATTAACATCCCTCTCTTTACCCCAAAAGAATAGTCACTCAAAAGTGCGAGGAATATACACTTTTTGTTTCATAAAGAACTCTGTAGATCATGCAAGTGTTGCTACGGTCACCAAAAAACACGTCCTAGATTATCTCTTTCTAGAACAATTAGAAAATGGACCCTGAAAGATGTAATAGGCAAATTAGAATTTTTGTTGTTACATGAATGGTACATTTCTAATTACAAAAAGCAATAGCGAAGATAAGAATCTACTGAAAAGAGTTATAAGGGTTCACTGGACAATTTCTATCACAGTGGGAAAGAAAGTCCGACATCATCTTCTTTCCAGATGTCCTACTGTCAAAAGCTGACAGGTCAATAAGAGCAAACTTTTATAGTAAGCTGACCACGTGATGATGATATACAAAGCTTGTGAGCTTTGTCCTACTAAACTGTAATAGAAGCATGGTCAAATCTTTGACCCATAGAGCGGAAATTATTTGCTCGAATGATAGTCATAAAGAGGAACGAAAACTTATTCATAATTTACTACGTACTTATGGATACCCCAAAAAGTTCCAAGAGGAACATGGGTTTACAACTAAACTATGAAGGACCACTGAGCCGGCATCCAGTGATGTTAATTTATAACTTCATTCAATCCATGGTCTTGCGCGACCAGTTATCTAAGGTGGATAATTATCTCGCACTCGACATGGATTGGACTCTCCTGGCCACGTCTTGACTAAAATGCTCCTTACTGAGAAGTCCTATACTAACAAGGTTTTCTTTGGTGGTCTAGCGTAAATCGACTCGTGAATTCAACGGTTAGATTACGTATTACTGTCTACAGATATCGATTTAAATCAGAGAGGGATTTTGTCGATATTTTAGTAATTTTTAACAGTTGAATTCATGAGTCAATTGAAGATAGACCACCTTGGTGAACCTAGTAGTCCTGGACAGATACACACTGAAGAAAGTAGATGGTTGCGTGAATTCGTTGAAATTAAAATTCTGTACAGTTTGATCCCATGCTAGTGGCCATGATTTTAGGCATTCGCGCGAGTTCGAAGGTCCTGTGTTCGAGTCTCATGTCCGAGCCCGTGGATGCGCACCGCCAAGGAGTCCAATACAAAGCCGAAACGATCGTGTAGTGCCTCCAGGTTTTCAACGATAGTCTAACGCAGACCTGTTCATGATTTCAATTAAAACCTAATTACAAGCTTGCGAATCAGTGGACAAAGTCAGGTTTTAGACTATTATTTATCTTTTTTAATCCGAGAACCAACTAGTGACTATTCCAAGTACAGCAAATACCTTGATCAATTTCACAATGAAGTCAACTTAGTTGAATACTTTTTTGTGATTTTCTAAGCATTGATATTTCTGAAACAAAACTCTTCAGATTGTAAGCGGATAACACTAACATTTACAAGATTCCTCTCATCATTTTACAACACTATGAACCGAAATGACTTAAAAAACTTTGATCTCATTTATCGGTTGACTGAAGCAACAAAGCTAAGACCAAACAAACAAATGGAATCTTCAAGAGCTTATACTTCACTTTGTGAATTTCAGAGGTTCACTTATGTAATTTAAGTGTAATTGTAATGATCTGATTCATATCATCATATGACATAAATACATCACAGTACCATAACTACTTCTCATTTAGATATTGGATAATGTAACTTTCCGATTATTGACATTATTGAGCCAGTGATTAATTGTTACTAACTGAAACATCAATTTCTCATTTCAACAAACACTAATCAAAACATTCTTCAAAGTAGTAACTAACACTTTAGGATTATTTAGTATGAAAACAGTTTCAAAATTGAGAGTATCACGTTAATAAGACTGTTACTCATGAGAATTATCAATGATTGTTTTTTGTTCAGCTGACTTATCACCTCATCTTATTCACATTTTACCATTATCATTATTCATAAACATGATATAGAATCATATGGTCTTTCAATTTTTGACCATAATGCAACTTAATTAATTAATCTTAACTGATAGTTATACAATCAACCTGTCAATGCTGTCGTAGAGATTTATCTTGACAATTAGTCTAATCAATGATATAAACGGGTAAATTTGTTGTTTTGCATAAAAATGTAATAAGCTTATAGGGGAGATCTAACGGAAATACTGCTATTATAGATGTCGTTCAGTTTGAGACTAAAGACTCCACCTAAAATTGAATAATATAACATTTATTCTTGTTTATTTTGATCTACTAAGTCTTTCGAACTTAAAGTTGATTGTTGAATCGTATTGATTTCTAATGGAAACAACGCTCGTGCCATCCAACGTTTTTTTATCTCTCTATCACCACATAAACTACTAACTAATTCTAATGTTAAATGAAGATGTTGGGTTTTTCTACAGAATATAAGTATTGCCGTAGTTTCTTAGTGCACTTATCATTAATACATGATCTCGGGAAACCACTGATCCCTAATCTTCCAACAGGCTTCGTAAATGCTTGATGACTAGACAAATTAAGGAAAGTTTTGTTCAAATATAGGATATATAGCAAGTGGCTGTCAGGACTCAGTAGCTGAGTGGATAAGGCGATGGCGTTTGAAGCGGATGGTACTGGGTTCGAGTCACAGAGTGAACATCAACTCTGAGATGCAGGTACATCCAACTGACGAGTGCCAAATAGGACGAAACACGCGTCGAACTGGATTCTACTGCTAGCCACTATCCATTATTGCTTACAAATAGCTTGTGAACTAAGGTAATATCGAGGCATACGCACAGTATGCACATATGTCAATAACAGACTGATCAACTTTAGTCTTAAACCTCAATGGGAAGATACAAGCCAAACAATATCAAATGAATAGGATTTCTTGTTTCCGAGAAGAGTATAATTTCTCCAAAGAGTACTTTAAATTACCATTCGAGAGATCCTACAGTTTCAACTTCAAAATCAAGTGTTATTTGACATTGGATCCTCACTGAAAGAATATAGTCTTCAACCAATACACTAGCATTAGGATAGTACTGGATTCTAGGTCGATTTCCCTTGAGCTAAATGTTCTATACCTTGAAATACAACTATGCGTTGAATGGTTGACAAAGGATATTGAGGTACAATGGGGTCAATGATGTGTTACCATGGTGTCCCTATTGCTTGAACATCCAAATAGTGGTCGCATCATGTATCTCGTTAATGTGTACAGTATGTTCATCATCAAACTTGTGCTTAAAAGATACTTAAGAAGCAAGACAGTCCGGTGAGCAAGTTAGTGAAGGCCTTGATAAACACTGTCGTGACTTCAGTGTCAGATCACATGAGTCAATGTCGTTTACGTTCAGAGTAGCAGATCGCCTGCGCATTTTTCCCACGTTTGGTTTTGAACTACAAAATACAACACTTCTGATTGTGTACACAAAATTATTTCTGATTTTTATAATGACCCATTCATGTCTAATGAAGTAAAAATTAAACAGTTTTACGTATTCCTAATTGTCAAATCGATTTCTACTTACTCTGGATATCATAGTTAAGTAGGTGAATTATACCTAGTGTCCTACAGTAGGCCAGATCCATGTCTAAGTTCGGGGAAATTGCATGACACTGACGATCTAGAAAGATTTTAGATGAGAATTCTGAATCAAATAATCAGATAATTCAAACCAAATTCAGATATTGTAAATAAATAATACACGGGACCATTTACCAAGTGGAATATTGGTGATCCTTCAAGTAATAATAAAGCAAAATAATGAAAAAGTGAAACTAATAATTATACGTTTCAGTAATTAACCACATTAGCCACGCGAAGATAAATCAATGAAAAACTCGATCTATGTAGGCATAACAGTTAGTTCATCATGGTACTTAAATCAACATATGTATTCCATTCAGCCACACAACTGATGCATGTATGAAGACAACATTATAAAATCTGTCTCATATCTCTCTGTTGACTGTGTTGAGTAAAAAAAATGAATTGTGTCACTCACAAATTATGACTAATTTAGACCCCTTTTTCTTTAACGAAGTACCTGAAAT